TGATGGCAAACTGTTATAACACTTAATTGTGATGAAAGGAGTCGAGGTCAAGAGAAATGGGCAGAACGATCCTGAGCTGTACCAGCACTGTGGCAGCCAACTGCCATGCAGCGGTGGTGTCACCAGTTGCCTCCCTAAGGGGATAGTTATGTGGCAGCCAAATGGGAAAAAGGTGCCCCAACAATGTTGCCATCTGCTACCGCCACGGCGTCCACGGTGATTCTGCCTCAGTGTTCCATTCCAGTGCTGTTGGGAGGCAGGGCCGGCATGACAGACAAGGCAGGCAAGACCAATGGGAGCCATGAGTCAAGGAGGCAGAGCCAAGCATCCATCACCGGCAGGAGCCTGAGAGAGGCGGACCAGAGGAGCAACGCTCCTCCTCTGTTAGACATCCCCCTTAAAGAGACAAGCTCCCATCACAAGCCCCAGCCACCTGTCGGTGGAGAGGGGGGCATCACGTCAGCCCCACTTGCACCCCATGGGGGCACTCTGCACACAGGGCTGCAGAGGCTGAGAAGGGGCAAGAACGTGGATGTCTGGGAGCAGCCCTCACTGCCATCAGTGACAGCGAAACGCCCGCCCACACTGCCAAGGGTGTCTCTGTGCCAACCCACATGCCACCTCTGCTGTAGGCACAGGAGGAGGGGTGGGGGTCAGAGACATTCAGGGGGCCCCAAATAGTCCCCTTGATGCACTCTTGCTCTTCACAGGCATCCCTTGCTATGGCAAGAATCCCCTCCAGGTGCCCAGCAGCTGCTGTTACAGATGCTGCCAGCCCCTCCATCCATTGCTGGCCCCTGCCAAGGGCTTCCTGCCACTTCTGCTCGATTGCTGCCCACATGGAGGAAAGGGTGTGTGGGATGGGCTGTGCCAGACGTGGCCAATGGCTGGAGACCTGGCAAGTGGCCGCAGCCCTCCCCTCCTCTGTGGCACCAGAAGCTGCATCCCCTGGCGACAGCTAGCCACGTTCAGGGCTTGCCCGGAACTACGGTCGCATTCCCGTGGCCCATCTGTAGCAGCCCTCAGAACCTCTGGGCTCCAAAGGGTGTGTCGACGGTGCAAGGACACTTCTGTGTCACATTGTGCCCCTCAGTCCCCCATGGATGCAGCCATGGGAAGTCCCCCTGTCACCCAATCTGTTTTTCACAATGGTTTGGTCCCCTAAACAAGGGAAGTGACAACAGTGACTAGAGCTAGGAATTTCTCTATGTGTTAAGTCACACCCCAGGCCAGAGGCCAAGGTGTAATTTCCACAGGCACTATGGGGTGTGTATCTGTCGTGGAAGGCACCGCACATCTGAACAGATGGCCAATTCCTCTACGGTGCAGGCCCCCAGCATCCACCTGAAGACAGGTGAATGCTCCTAGCTCTGTAGGTACTGGGCCCTAGGATGGTTTTGGGTGGCTGGGACCTGGGTTGGCACATGTAGTGATGGCATTAACTCTCATGGTAGCCATTGAGCAGGGAAGCCGTCAGGTACGGTGACACATATCAACTGTGGTACCCTTTATTTTTGTCATTGGCATCTGTGGTTGCCTGGTAGATGCTGTGCCCCATAAGGGGACTGCCCTATGAAATTAACCATCTTAGCTCAGCTGCATCGAATGCTACCCATGAAGTTTCCATGAGCCAACAGCATCATTTGCACACCAGTTCCTGCACAGGTCATCAGCCCTTGCTGGCCCCACATGCTCAGGAACCACTGCCAGGACTGATCCATTAGTGTGCACCCATGAAACTGGTGTCTGTGCTCACTGCCGTGGCAGTACATTTCCCCCAGGGAAATGTATTCATGACTGATTCATGGGGCCCATGGGTCAGCTCTACAGTTTTTGATTGGTGGTCTGTGCTTTTGGCTGGGGGGGGGATGGCGGCCTGTTGCACAGCCTTTCTCTCCCATCCATATGTGTCCACTGCTGTGGTGGGATTATTGTCAGGATGGGCCCCCCGACAGAGTTTTGTCTGTGAAGATTGTGTGGTACCCCCGACGTACTCCCACCTCCCGTAGTCCACAACAAACGCTAACACCTGGGATGGACACAATGGATGAGTGTGGTACCCCCGACGTACTCCCACCTCCCGTAGTCCAACGGCAACACCTGGGATGGACACAATGGATGAGCTTTATTGGAGGGAACCTGGGACAGCAGAATGGTAAGGCTGGGATCAGGGCACTGACGTCTGAACCGCCACTTGGTCATTTGGTCCTAGGGGTGCATCCCCAATGGGCGTGGGTAGGGAAGGGCCAGAAGACTGGAAGTGTCCACATGTTCTCAAGAACCAGCTTCTGGTGTTGCGAGGGGCACATGGTGGGGCTCCACAGATGGGGTGATGGGTCTACTACCTGCTGGACTGGCACCTGTGTGAGAAGAATACACACAGTGGAGCAGCTTCCAACATTCCTCGTTGGCAGCTTGTGGGGCATTTGGCAGTCGTGGATGCCCTGCCTGGCACTCTGATGCCGCAGTGGGGATCCAACAGGTGGTGGAATCCAGATCATCTGCACCTGATCCAGCGCCCTGTCAGAACCTCCGTGCTTCTGGATATGCACTCTGTCAGCAGTGTCAGGGCGTTCTGCACTTGCAAGGGAAGGGTTCGGGCATCAGGTAGGATCACTTGGCACTCAGGTTGGAGGGGATTCCCACCGGCCAGGACTTTTTGTACAGGGGGAGTGCTGCCAACAGGCAGTGCAAGCAGCCTGGTACAGTGGCACCACCTTTGGCACCCCCTCCCCTCCGTAGCTGTCTCAGGGGGCCCCTGACACACTGAACTGTCTGCTGCACAGAGCACATGTTCATCTGAAGGATGCACCTGGCCCCCCCAGCTGCCAGGTTCAGGAGTGAAAGATGCCATGTCCAGTGCAGTTTGATGCCACTGTTGTTGGCCGGGGAGGGGGGGAGGGGGTTGGGGAAAGTGTTCCTTGCTTGCCTGTTTGTGTGTGGCTGCCCCTTGAGATCCCAGATGAGCTGATGTACCTGCAGGGCCTGAAATCTGGGAGAGGTCAGCCATGGAATGTGGACTTTGCTCTCCTCCTGATCTCTTTCCCCGAAGTGCTCGCCCAGTGGTGCTAGGTGCCTTGCTGTGTTTTGCCCACCACCAAGGTGCATGTGTGCTAGCTCTAAGTCTGCATGGCAGGGAGCTGTCAGACAGCATCCCAGCAGCGTACCCTACCTTTGGAGTTGTGAGGTGATCTCCCAAGTTGGGGATGGCATGGGGGCTATGCTGATTGGGTGTGCACTTGGTCAATACCCTGAGCTACTTGGTTACCCAAGGGCATGGCCACAGCTGAGTGGGGGGAAGTGCACCTGTTCTGGGGGGCATTCCCATGCTGAAAATGCTTTGGGAGCTGACTGGCTGGCACCATGCCCCCTGGCACGCCCATATTTTTGCTGGTTCTGGGGTTTGCACCGTCACTCTGCGGATGTATGGTTGTAGTGCAACCATGCTGGTGCACGTGTGCCCTCTGCCAGTGTAAATGCCCCTTACACCGGCGTATATCCGACTTACGCCAGCATTGGGGTCAGATGACTTCCTATTCCGATTCCCCCCCCCCCCCCAGGATTGCTCTGTAAGTGACCTAACAATGCACAGGATTATAGCTTTAGTATTTTATTTCCATACATGATTAACATCTGTTTAATTAGCATCACAGGCATAGAGGCCAAAGTCATAGTCTTGCATACTGTTTCTGTTGACTTCAGCTTAATTTAAGCACCCCAAAGGGACATGAAACTAGTTGTATCCTTGGAGTCCACTCGCGGAACAGAAATCCTCACCTCTACCACCACCGCAGCCTCCTCCTTCTCCTGGAGGGAACAGTGCAGGCCATGGTGTGGAGGACGTGCAGTGAGAGGGTACTTGACAAAAATCTCTCCTCTATGCTGAAAGCACACTTGAGACACTGAAAACACTTGGATGATCCAGTGTACTATGTTTTATCTTTTCACAATTATTTTGCAGCAGGATTCCCAGATATTGTGTCAAGAGGGCACACATGACAACAATAACTAGGCCAATGCTGTATAAAAATGTAGATATTATACTACTGTCACCAAAGTATTTTTCAAGATCTATTCCACTAGTGGTCTGTGGGTCACATTAAACCAAGGAGCCAAATTCTCCCCTCTTTCTCTCCTCAATATAGTCACCCATATGTTAAAACATACACCATCTTTTAACTTCTGGTAGGCCTCTTTACCTGTATTGCACCATAAAGCTGGATTATAGTTGACCTGGTACTTCCATGCAAGCAGCGCAATTTACAGTTTAGTACATCACTTTTGGGCAATTCTTTAGTTGAGCTTTTCCCCATCATGCTTTGACTCTATTTTAAAAAAATAAAAGAAACCGATAATTAAGGAAAATATGGTTTAACAATTCTACACTTCCATAAAACACATAGGTATAAAATGTGAATTCAGAGATGTTACAGCCTATAACAGTACGATTGCATAATTATCTTAACACTGGATCTGGTAATGGGGAAAAAAACTGTTCAGAAGAGAACCTACAAGTATTAATTTGCTACTTCCCCAGTTAGTATGACCCAACCACATTTACAATATTTTCCTTCAAAAACCAATCAGACATTAGAATCTGCACTCAATCCAAATAGTGTGACCCAGTTATCAGTGGGAACTGCTGAGTGGTTTTGAACAAGCCACTGTTGTAGTGACAGAATTTATAATTTAGATACTTGTCCTAAGATTATGACTTTAATTCTGGAACAAGGCTTAGATAATGTCATACAAGGTATTTTAATTCTTCATATTAAAATAATTTTAACCATTTATCATTCTGGTAGTTTTGTTGCATGAAGCAACAAAAACTGCATTAAAAACTTCCAATAATCACAGTATCAGACTAGGAACTGGGAAAGACTATCACTGAAATCACTGCGTGACTGTAGGCCATTTGCTGTCTTTCTCAGCACAACCTATTCACAGGATTGATGTCAGGATCAACTACAGGAGTGGAGCACCATATTGGCTGAGCTGAGCTCCTGGAAGGAAGAGTGGGACAGAAATGTGATAGCACTGAAAGATTAAAAATTACCAAATTGATCTGGGTGACTTTTTTTTTGGCACCACTGAAAGCGCTGTACTGGCTGCCAATAGCGTACCGGATTCGCTTCAAAGTGCTGGTTATTACCTTTAAAGCCCTATACAGCCAGGGTCTGACATACCTGAGGGACCGCCTCTCCCCATATATTCCCCCAAGGGCACTACGGTCAGGGACACAACATCCTGCTGGTGATTCCAGGCCCTAAAGAGGCCAGGCTTGCAGTTACTAGGGCAAAAGCCTTTTCGATGGCAGCTCCTATCTGGTGGAATGAGCTCCCGAAGGAGATCAGGGCCCTGTGAGACCTTATGCAGTTCCGCAGGGCCTGCAAGACAGAGCTCTTCCGCCAGGATTTTGAGTAGGAGCTGCCACTACAACCACCACCAACGAGCTTGGAACAACGGGGTGCAGGAGTGGCCCTGAGATCGATCACACTGCGGTACTACGACGTGTGGGCGCCACTGAGTTTAAGACCTGATTCTGGATACCATCTCCACCATCTTTAAACTGAAGATCATGACCAGCTTGAAGCACTTTATTTGTATATTAGAAATGTTTTAGTCTGTTTTTACTATGTTTTTATATTGACACGCATGCCCTTATGTTAGCTGCCCTGAGTCCGCTCGCGGGGAGGGCGGACTATAAATCGAATAAATAAATAATCAAACTTTTCAGAATCTGTGGAAGATTTTTTAAAAATCTATTGCAGAATGCTTTTTCAACTATTTGCTTGTGACTGTTAATTTATATTTATGGAATACTTGAAAACTGTTACTATGGTGGTTGTTGGTAAGAACCATGCAAGTAAGTCCATGGACCTATGAGCTCGTGTTTTTCATACAGCAGCCACTCCCAATCCCTTAAGCACTCTTTGGACCACCCTGATATGACTAAGCAGTGAGAAGGTATTTTTGAATGAATTATATTGTCCCCCAGTTCACTCAGTTGAGAGAGATTCTAGTTGCAGACATACTGAATTGATTAAGATTTGCCCTCTTGTAGAAAAAAGTTCTGAAATTCCATTTGTATTTATACATCGGAGAGAAATGAAAATCAGCTTTGAGCACACTGGGCTCCTTTTAACCCTGTGTATTCTTTCCAGACATCCACTCAAATTTAAGCTTTGGTGCTATCACAGAAAACAATCTCAAATAAATCAAAGTATAGCTTGTTGGATTCTACTTAATGCTGTTCATTAAAAACATTTCTGCTGCACTTATATTCTTTTATTTTTATAAAACAGATGGGAAACCCTCCCTCCCCCCCACATTGCCTAGAAAACAATTTCCAGGAAGAAATTGTCTCAGAATCCCCATGTAGAAGAATTCACTTCTACATGGGGATTCTTCCTTTCATGGAAACCAGGAAGTCCCTGGGGAATGTCCAAATGATGTCATCCTTCTTATTCTAAACATGGCTTGTGATGTTCCTGGGGCTTTCACCTTTAAACCAGGTTAAAAATAAACCTGTTTTAATTGTGCTGAAATGAGAATTCACAGAACAGCTGAAAGGCAGTGCTGGTGTGGACATTCCCTGTCGCCACTACAGTGAGTGGGTGGAGCTTAAGCTTTGCTTTCAAAATGGCAGGGAGCAGCCCATTGCTGCACACCATTCCCCTAGGGTTGCCAAGTCCTTACCATAGGTATAGCGGGGGAGTCCAACGCTGCTCCGGGAGTTTGTGTGCGTGCGCAAAGCGCGTGCCGCAATTACATCACCAGGAAGTGACGCAACCACGTCGGGCACGCCGGGGCGGGGCCACAATCATCCGAGGGAAAACCATAGTTTTCCCTCGGTTGACTGCAGCCCCGCCCCCAACGCGACTGCGTCACTTCTGGGTGACGTGCTGACGCCGGGCACATCGCGTGCTTTGGGGGTGGGGTTCCCCCTGGGACCTGATCTGCCGGCGGCGGGTAACGGGCCTCTTGGGCGGGGGTTTCCTCGCCCCCCGGGGGGACTTGGCCTACATTCCCCTCACTTCTGAGCTGAACTGTATTGTTCACAACATGGTTCAGTAGGTAAAGGATTTTTTTCCAGACTTGTGGAGGGTATTTACGATATTGCCATCATGGCCTGTGCTTTTGTACAGGTGCAGCAGGAGCGAGGAGAGAAGCACGAGGAGTAGCAACAAGTGGTACAGAAATGGGTGTATGTGGATGCTGTTCCTGCCTCACCTGCTACTTGCTGTGGAGGATTCTAATTTTCAGACCACCATATGGATGCAGCTATAGTTGCATTAGGATAAGAAAAAGGGTGGTAGTTGTGTAACTGCTGAAGTAGAATCCTATGCAGTAATTCCAGTTTAAATCCATTATCAAGAGAAGTGCTGCACAAGATTGCACTATAAGAACTAGTGTGGATAGAATGTTGGACTATGATCTGGCAGAGCCAATCCCCACTCTGCCACGGAAGCCTGGTGGGTGACCTTGGGCCAGACACATATTCTCAGCCCAGCCTACCTCACAGGTTGTTGTGAGGATAAAATGGAGGAGAAGGAAAATGATGTAAGCTGCTTTGGATACTCATTAGGGAGAAAGGTAGATTATAAATGAAGTAAGTAAATAAATAAAGCAATATTCAGAAGATATATTTTATTTATTTAGTTAGTTAGTTATTCTTTAGATTTGTATCCCGTCCTCCCCAAAGGCTCAGGGCGGCTAACAAGGGCAAATGCCAGATTGTAACAATAAAAACAATATATAAATACAGTAATACAGAATACTACAGTTAATTAAAATTAGTAAAAAATAAAATATAAAATATCGGTGCTCCAATACTCATTATACATTATGGATATATACTCATTATATATTATGGATATATAGAAGTACTATGCTCTTCTTGTGTACAATATACACATGCTATTTTTCTGGTGTTCTTTCATTAGCATGTGAGCATCCTTGCACATTGCACAGCATTGTTACTATCATAGAACTGGTGAGATCCTCAGATCTGCAAGGATCCTCTGATTGTTTCTTTGATTTGTGGCATTTATTTCAACCATATTAAGTGCCTTCCCTTCCACTGATGTCAGAGCATATAAGTTCAAAGATAAGAGCCAGTATAGTGTAATGGTTAGAACACTGGTCTAGGGAGACCCAGGTGCGAATTCCAACTCATACATGAAACTAGCTGTGTGACCATCAGCCACTCACTCTACCTACCTCACAGGTTTACTGCAAGGGCAGAACAGGGCGGAGGAGTACAGAAGAAGAGCCTGGCTGAATCAAATCAGTGTTTCATGTAGTCTAGCATCCTAGCTCACAGTGGCCAACCAGTTCCTCCGGAGGTCCAACAACAGGGCATAGAGGCCGAGGCCTTCCCTGATGTTGCCTCCTGGCACTGGTATTCAGAAACTTACTGCCTCTGATTTTTGAGCTTCCCTTTAGTCCATGGCTAGTAGACTTGGAGCTGCGGTGGCTCAAGTGGGTAAGACGCTGAACTGCAGGCTGTGGAAGGTCAGTAGTTCAGTGGTTCAAGACCCGGGGGCCGCAAGACAGGGTGAGCTCCTGTCTCTAGTTCCAGCTCCTGCTAACCTAGCAGTTCGAAAGCAAGAAATTGCAAGTAGATAAATAGGGACCACTTCGGTGGGAAGGTAACAGCGTTCCGTGCGCCTTGGTGTTTAGTCATGCCGGCCACATGACCACGGAAACGTCTTCGGACAGCGCTGGCTCTTCGGCTTTGTAACGGAGATGAGCACCGCAACCCTAGAGTTGGATTCGACTGGCTTTCGAGCAAGGGAACCTTTACCTAGTAGACACTGATGGACCTGTCGTCTATGAATATGAAGCAATGGTTTCAGTGGGAAAGCATCACATTATGCACCAAGGGGGAGGAGTGCGTTTTCAGTCTTTAGAAGTTAGAAAGTTCTCTCCAAGGCCAGCCTACACCAGAAGCACAATGATGTACTTCATTTCTTGTCAATTTGACTCAGTTCTTCAGACTCTCTTCCTGAAAACAGTAGCTGTGGCCTGTGTATATGCCACACACTTTCCACAGTGAGCACAGGCAAATAATTAGTTGACCTCTGCCATCTCTCTATCTTCCTTTAGCAATCTTTTTATTCCTTGGTCACCCAAAGGCCCAACTACTTTTCTGGCTGGTTTCCTGTTCTAGATTTATTTAAAGAAATGCTTATTATTTGTCCTGATGCTTTTAGCAATCCACTCCTCAAATTCTCTTTTTGCATGGCTAATTATAAACTTACACTTCTGTTGGCAGCACTGTTCCCTCTAAGCTGAGTTAGTGTGAGCTAGCTCACAGTTTTTTAGCCTCTGGCTCAAACATTTTTGTCTTAGCTCAGGAAACATGGCTCCAGAGCAAGCTAATTTATGCAGCAGGCAAATTGCTCGCCCACAACTTTAATGCCAGTAGCTCACAAAGTAGAATTTTTGCTCACAAGACTCCACAGCTTAGCGGGAACATTGGTTGGCAGACCCTGTGCTCCCTTCTGTTCACTTCATTTGGGACAACCCTGTTTGCCACTTGAATGACAGGATAAAAATGTTTAGACAGAGAAAGGCTGCAATCCCAGAAGGAGAACAGCAGGGGATGCTTCAGCCTAATATAGAAGGTTTTTACTCTTTAAAGTATGCTGCTTCAATTACATGTCATAGCTGCTTCAATTACATGTCTGGCAGAATGTCCAAAACCCACTTCTGAATGCACTGTATTTTTCAGAATCCATTCTCAAAGAAACTCTGTACTATTTCCCCCCACCTCCAACATAAAATGCAGGAAACTCACATCAGTTAACACTGAACACATTTCTATTCTATTTTTCATGTTTAGTATTTATAAATATACATCATTTTTAATGTTTATTTTCCATTTTACAAAATATAATCATACATATCTTAATATTTACATAAATCATATTATTGAGTCTATTATTTATTCTTTTCCTTTATCCATTTGTATATCGTGGCCCATCTTTCTTGAAATACTTTATCATCTTTCCCTTGCAATATTACACTTAATTTGTCCATTTCTGCTACCTCCAACAATTTAAATATACATCATTATTGAGTACCAGACTGTATATATGGTTATTTCACACAATAAGGTAAAGGTCTCCCTTGCTCGAAAGCCAGTCAAATCCGACTCTAGGGATGCGGTGCTCATCTCCGTTTCCAAGCCGAAGAGCCAGCACTGACCGAAGACATTTCTGTGGTCATGTGGCCGGCATGACTAAACACCAAGGCGCACGGAACGCTGTTACCTTCCCACCGAAGTGGTACCTATTTGTCTACTTGCAATTTCTTGCTTTCGAACTGCTAGGTTGGCAGGAGCTGGAACTAGAGACAGGAGCTCACTCCATCATGCGGCACCCGGGTCTCGAACTGCTGAACTACTGACCTTCCACAGCCTGCAGTTCAGCGTCTTAACCACTTGAGCCACCGCAGCTCCTTATTTCATACATTACACAGAGGCAAACTCAGATTTTCTCCTGAGCCTCCTTTCCAAGCTCTCCCTGTTCCTTCTCTTCCCTCTTGATCTTACAGTGAGAATCACTGATCCACACATACGGCCATTTAGAAAAATAACAGATGAAGTGTTCCTTTTATCAATAGCTATTAGCCATGAAAGGTAAATGCAGCCTTCACAATCAGAGGTAGTATATGACATGACCCAGTAATTGTAGTCCTTGTATTCTTAACATTATTTTTCACATACAGCACAGCTAACTTCTTTAAGTGCTCCCCAGTCAATTTTGGAAAACATCAGCCATTTCATTTTCTCACAGTGTGCACCACAGGGTCTCCCTCTATGGTGTTCTATGCTTATTTCCCACAGATGGGTGCTGAATCTGTGTCAGAAACAGTCTCGGTTCTGCATGCCTGAGATTAAAAGTACAGGTACAGCGTGGTGCAGTGGTTAAGAGTGTCGGAGCAGTGGCTGGGAGACCCACGTTTGAATCTCTACTTGTACCACGAAAGCTCACTGGGTGACCTTGGTCCAGTAATTGTAGTCCTTGTATTCTTAACCTTATTTTTCACAATACAGCACAGCTAATTTCTTTAAGTGCTCCCCAGTCAATTTTGAAAAACATCAGCCATTTCATTTTTTCACAGTGTGCACCACAGATGGGTGCTGAGCCTGTGTCAGAAACAGTCTCGGTTCTGCATGCCTGAGATTAAAAATACAGGTACAGCGTGGTGTAGTGGTTAAGAGTGTCGGACCAGTGGCTGGGAGACCCACGTTTGAATCCCTACTTGTGCCACGAAAGCTCACTGGGTGACCTTGGGCTAGTCACACTCTCTCAGCCTAACCAACCACACAGGGTTGTTGTGAGGAAAACATGGCAGGAGAATGATGCTAACTGCATTGGGTCCCCCCCATTGGGGTGAAAGGCATGGTAAAAATGAATTAAATAAATAAAATAAAGGTTGACCCAAGTTCCTGAAGAGATCCAAGCTGAAACTTTTCAAAGCACTGAAGAAATTATAGTCTTCTGAACTCAGCTGCAGTATTTTTAGAAGAGTTCCATTGAAAGCCAAGCTCAAAAGGCACCATCTGGATTTCAGTCAAGTTTTATTCCCTCCCCCAGTTGATCCTCATTTTCATACTGAAAGAGTTAACCAAGACTACACATGGGCAAGCGACTTGCATGAGGTCACACAGCATTTAAAGTCTCAGCCTAGATTAGAAGCCTTTGGCTGGCGGTTGCTATTACTACTAATCCCCGCAGTCTGTCCTTAATGCTGCCCTGAGCTCCAACTGCTTCAAGTTCTCCAAATCTCTAGCAGCTCTGCTTAGACGGCAAAAACCACCCTCAGTAAGGACTGCCTATTATTTTCCACCATTGCTCTAAAAATTATGGAATAAAATAAGACACAAAGAAGCAGGCACATCTGGCCATGTTTAAGATTCTTCAATCCATCGTGCAGTTCTTAATTTTTATCAACAAAATGAAATGATTGAGATAACCGGTGCAATTAAATGGGCCATTTCACAAATCACAACTCAAATGGAGTACTAGCAAGGCACCTGTTGAGCTGTGTGAATAACGTGAGAAACTGCTGCTGAGAGCTACGTTTGGTTCCAGCTTCCTACAATGTGTTTCCCTAGTGCATGTGTTAATCACATGAAAAAAACATGAACAAATCACCTCCCATGACAAAGGCAGGAACCTGCAAAATCTGTAATACAGATCAGCCTGAACACTTCTAGATGTTCTACTGATATGAAATTCCATTTACCAATAAACTGCCTCAGTCATTCCTACAAGCAGTTGCATGAGTGGTTTTTGTCTGAAATACAACCACAAGGAAGTTATGGTACATTTCAAGCTACTTGCATTAAGACATCGGTCTTTAACTTTTCCAGACCCAAGACGGATTTTTAACAGTCAGACAGCATCATGGGAACCAGGGGCTGCAAGCACCTGACAGAAGACACGTGACTTCAGAATCACATGCCAGAAAAAAGAGGAGTCTGAGTTATGACCCCACAGGTGAGGAAGGGAGTTCTACATTGCATTGGCAGACCAAGAAATTCACAAGGCAGATGGGAAGGCACATCTCCATCCAGACTATGATATCCTGATAGACTGTAATCCCCACCTGTTATGTGCAGTGAACACACTTCCCAAAGAAACATAAGAAGCCACAAGCAAGGTACATATTTTACCTTTGGTGAGAGAGCACAACTAATGGAGATTAATTCCCTGATCCAGAAAGGGAACACTACAAGTAGAAGCAGGATTTCTTGATCAAGGTGTTCATCTGTACAGGTTGGGCTCAAGGAAGAATTGAAATTAAAGGCTAAAATGGGAATAGAAACAGGGCACTAGAACATACAGTTTTTCTTGTTTTCAGAGATAAGGACACACTATAGCCATTATTACCTCTGCAAGCTTGAGATGCAGAAGGGCATTTTCTGTTTCTAGCACTATGATTCTTTCTTCTTTAGCCTGGGAAACAAAATGAGAAGGCAAGGTAATTTTGCTATGGATTTTAACTTCAAAACAGTGTTTAGGATGTTCTGACACAGTAGGTCTGAGAGTTTGCATTTACGTTTTTGTGTAAATTCACAAACATATTTTTTCACTGTCCCAGCAAATCTACAGCTTCAGCCTTCAGAATAACTTATAAATCAGTGGCTTTATGTCCAGAATAACTCACAGAACAGATGGTACAAAGTGCGCAATAATTATTCTTCAGAATGGTCAGAAGTGCCTAACATTATACCTTGAGAGAAAACAAATTAGATGACTTAAGAAAGTCATGTGAGGTTCGCACAATTGTGCCTTATATAAGATAGCCATACCTTAAAACTTTGAATCTCTCAAATCTGATTTGCAGTGAAACAGTCTTAACTTTTCTGAAAAAATTGGTAAGCATTTAGAAATTGCATTTTATGTTTAAATGTAGGCTAGGAAGAAGGAGGGGTGACATATATGCCTTTTATTTATTATCTCCTTTACATATGCTAGTGTTTTCTGTATTGTTGTGATTCTGGTCTATTTAGCATGTTCAAGAATAACTGGGGTAATTTTAAATAAAGTTCCACCAAAAAAGCTATGCCATGGGACTTTCATAGAAAAAAAAAGCCATGTGTAACAAGGGTTGTATGGGGGGGGGGAATTGGCTGAGATGAAGCAAAAAGGTCAGCTGATCCAACCTTAAGAGGAAAACTACATGTGGCATTACCCAATTGGCAGGTTTTTCCTACACTTTTCTCTCCAAATAGGCTAGCTAGAGAAAAATTGCCACTAAAAATAAAAAGAGAAGGATCAAGACATCCAAATAACCAATGCTTCCTCCACTGCAACAATAAACTGTTCTGCAAATATAGTGTGTTTGATATGAACTCTCTCCTTCCCAGATGTATAGAGATCTCTCTAGCTGTAAGAGCTTTTCTAAGGAGAGCTGAATCACCTGCTATGAGAACAATATACTGTAATAGGTAGCTTGGCTCTCATTCCTTTTAATTCCAGCCTTTTATACAGAGATAACATAAGGCATGGGTACAAAAAGGTCTGCAGTGCTTTAGATGGAGTTAACATTTTGTCAAAACACTTTGAATAATTTTTTTTAAAAATCACAGCAATGTTAAGTGATTAAATTTTATTCTTTTTTCCTTTCCTTCCTCTCTCTTTATTCCTTTTATGGCTTCCAACAATTATGCATCATATTTGAAAAAGAAACATTTCACTGTCTAAATAAGGCATACCACTTTATCACCTCTAACTCGTCCATTTAAGCAACTAAGTCAACATGGAATTTTTGCTGTGGGTTTGACACATGCTGCAACCAATGCTCTCTCTAAGCTTCTGACACAGTAGGTCTGAGAGTTTGCATTTACGTTCTTGTGTAAATTCACAAACATATTTTTTCACTGTCCCAGCAAATCTACAGCTTCAGCCTTCAGAATAACTTATAAATCAGTGGCTTTATGTCCAGAATAACTCACAGAACAGATGGTACAAAGTGCGCAATAATTATTCTTCAGAATGGTCAGAAGTGCCTAACATTATACCTTGAGAGAAAACAAATTAGATGACTTAAGAAAGTCATGTGAGGTTCGCACAATTGTGCCTTATATAAGATAGCCATACCTTAAAACTTTGAATCTCTCAAATCTGATTTGCAGTGAAACAGTCTTAACTTTTCTGAAAAAATTGGTAAGCATTTAGAAATTGCATTTTATGTTTAAATGTAGGCTAGGAAGAAGGAGGGGTGACATATATGCCTTTTATTTATTATCTCCTTTACATATGCTAGTGTTTTCTGTATTGTTGTGATTCTGGTCTATTTAGCATGTTCAAGAATAACTGGGGTAATTTTAAATAAAGTTCCACCAAAAAAGCTATGCCATGGGACTTTCATAGAAAAAAAAAGCCATGTGTAACAAGGGTTGTATGGGGGGGGGGAATTGGCTGAGATGAAGCAAAAAGGTCAGCTGATCCAACCTTAAGAGGAAAACTACATGTGGCATTACCCAATTGGCAGGTTTTTCCTACACTTTTCTCTCCAAATAGGCTAGCTAGAGAAAAATTGCCACTAAAAATAAAAAGAGAAGGATCAAGACATCCAAATAACCAATGCTTCCTCCACTGCAACAATAAACTGTTCTGCAAATATAGTGTGTTTGATATGAACTCTCTCCTTCCCAGATGTATAGAGATCTCTCTAGCTGTAAGAGCTTTTCTAAGGAGAGCTGAATCACCTGCTATGAGAACAATATAGTGAAATAGGTAGCTTGGCTCTCATTCCTTTTAATTCCAGCCTTTTATACAGAGATAACATAAGGCATGGGTACAAAAAGGTCTGCAGTGCTTTAGATGGAGTTAACATTTTGTCAAAACACTTTGAATAATTTTTTTTAAAAATCACAGCAATGTTAAGTGATTAAATTTTATTCTTTTTTCCTTTCCTTCCTCTCTCTTCATTCCTTTTATATGCATCATATTTGAAAAAGAAACATTTCACTGTCTAAATAAGGCATACCACTTTATCACCTCTAACTCGTCCATTTAAGCAACTAAGTCAACATGGAATTTTTGCTGTGGGTTTGACACATGCTGCAACCAATGCTCTCTCTAAGCTGTGGAGTCTTGTGAGCAAAAATTCTACCTTGTAAGCTACTGGCATTAAAGTTGTGAGCGATTTGGCTGCTGCATAAATTAGTTTGCTCTGGAGCCATCCTTTCTGAGCTAAGAGGAAAATGTGTGAGCCGGAGGCTAAAAAAAACGGTGAGCTAGCTCACATTAACTCAGCTTAGAGGGAACACTGGCTGCAACTTCAGCCCAAGAACCCTTAGATCCCTTCAGCCTGAGAACCCTTTCTAGAAGATTTTGTTACGCATTTTATAAAAGCGACACCATCAAAATATTATAACTGCTTATCTCGACGCAAGTCCACAAAAGAGTACGGAATAGGGCATCCACGCCCGCCCAGGGATAGATCATGACCCCTTTAGCTCCATTAACACTTGACATAAACCCCGTCCCGGTATTTATCATTAAAATATATTCCACTGTTTGTTCCCGAAGGCCCAGAGAGAGGTTTTAACTGGACGGGACTTACCCGCAACTTCTGTTCCAGCTGTCGAATCCGTTGCTCGGACACAAAACTCGGGCTGATTCCACTGCGGGGCCGCATCCTGAACTTTGGAAACCCTGGCAAAGCTCGCCGAGGCAGGCTAGCAGCTGCTTCTCCCACCCTCTCTCCTTCCTTCCTTCCTTCCTAGACACAATGCCTAGAAAAGCCGTTTGAATCACCCAATCATGGGCAAGAGCTAAGCTTCTCCGCGGTTGCTATGGTTACCTGCCTCTCTTTGACACCCGGAGAGAAGCATGATTGGCTGGATTTGGAAACGGCGTATTAAGGAGGAGATGGTGACAGCGGCTTCTTCCTGGGTTAGGGTTCAGCTGCTTTCCCCCTTCTCCCTTGTTCAGCATGAGGGCGAGAATCGTTCGTAAGGTGTATAGAGATCTCTCTAGCTGTAAGGGCCTTTCTATACCAGTAGAGCTGACTCACCTACCATGAAAACAATATACTGTAATATGTAAAGCAAGCGACCTTTTCCTGTGGTTGTTCCCCCCCCCTTCCTATACCTCCCTTGAGTTCAAAGGGACACTGTCACACTCCATTCCTATTTGCATTTTGAGCATATCGTGGTAGAATGACTAAAAAAATGATTCCAGAATTCACACAGGACACTTGGGTGCATGTCCAGCCAGGTTCCAAGTACTTGATTTTCCTAGGAAATAAAAGGCATCATCTTATCATGACTGTTGTATTATTACACTCATTCTGCAGTGAGTCCATTGGCTCCTTATCTGTTACTGAATTCGATTCAAGGTACTGACTTGTCATCTACAAAGCCCTGCATGGCCTTAGACTGTTACTTAATTCAGTGTATCTGCAAGATGGCCTCTCCCATGCTAGGCTCTGTCCATCAGATCAGACCTCCTGAGGGTGCCACCCTGCAAATAGGCAAGTGCAACAACTGCCTGTTTTCTATACCCCCCCCCCCCCCCAGCAGCCTCCACCACTGGGTGGGCAGGCAATGTTCACACTTCAGAAAGTGGCTTCATTCATCCCAACCCTAATCAGTACCACTTTCTCTAATAGCAGATTCACAGCTGAGGGCCTATCAGTGACACAGTGAAAAGGAGCCACATAGAAAAAGTAAGGGCTTTGCTTGTTTTAAAAAGCAAACAGCTGAATAATTAAATGTGCTTATTTTATTTGTTTGTTTGTTTGTTTGTTAGATTTATACCCCGCCCTCCCCAGCAGGCTCAGGGCGGCTACAACAAAGGCAATTGCCATAACAACATTATTACACAGTAAAGACAATCATTAAATAAAGTGCGATGCTCTTGATGTTAAAATTTTTCTCAATCCAGGATGAGTTCAATCATCAACCTAACCTGACAGCATGCATTATTTGGTTACCTAGGCATCTGCCCAGGGCCGGCTCACCTCCAGATCTAATCCACCGTCGAAGATGGCAACTCGGTGGTGGTACAGTGACGGCGGCACTAAGAATCAGTAAATGCTGATTGTAGTGTCAGTTGAAAATTGGGAGGTCGGGGTGGGGTGGATAGGTTGACATAGATGTGAAGTGTAGTGGGTTAGACGCAATTGTAGTGTCAGTTGAAAATTGGGAGGTCGGGGTGGGGTGGACAGGTTGACATAGATGAGTTGTCTACTCCAGCCCTTAACTGTTTTAAGATATCTTGGAATGAGGGATGAAGAGAGCTGGGGAATAATTGGAATGAGAAAACACCCTCCAATTCAAATTAAAGGTAAAGGTTTCCCTTGCTCGAAAGTCAGTCGAATCTGACTCTAGGGTTGCGGTGCTCATCTCTGTTTCCAAGCCGAAGAGCCAGTGCTGTCTAGGCTTCCCAAGCCCCCGCTGGGGGCGGGTATATTCCCGCCCAGGAGGCCCGTTACCCACCGCCAGCAGATCGGGACCCGGGGGGAACCCGGAGGTGACATCATCACGCTGGCCACGTTGTGGGGGAGACACTCTGTGAATCGAGGGAAAACTCTATGGTTTTCCCTCGAGTCACGGTGCCCCGCCCCCAATGTGGGTGACGCGATGACATCACTTCGTGGCGCATGCGCGCAAATGGGGAGACTCCCAACAGAGCCAGGAATCCTTCCACTTTGCAGGTAAGTCAACTTGGCAACCTTAGCGCTGTCCGAAGATGTTTTCATGGTCATGTGGTCGGCGTAACTAAACGCCAAGGCGCACGGAACGCTGTTACCTTCCCACCAAAGTGGTACCTATTTATCCACTTGCAATTTCTTGGTTTCAAACTGCTAGGTTGGCAGGAGCTGGAACCAGAGACAGGAGCTCACTCTGTCATGCGGCACTCGGGTCTCGAAATGCCAAACTACCGACCTTCAGGTCTGCAGTTCAGTGTCTTAACCACTTGAGCCACCACAGCTCCTCCAATTCAAATTATCCTTCTCTAAACCTGCCCATTCAGTAGAGACTTGAAGGTAAAAATACTAATTTATTTATTATTGTATTTCTACCCTGCCCTCCCCGCAATCAATTTAACAAAATAAAGTGCTCACTAATTTCAGTCTCTCAATATAACAAGATGGTATCTCAGAAATGTTATAAAGCAACGATACTCCTTCACTGAGGATAATGTCCCGTAGATGTTACTCATCCCCATCCAGTGGCTGTCACAGTTTAGTGTTCATAGAACCGTTCTCTTACCCCGTTGGTACCAATATTATTGGCGGTGGTAGTAGTGGCGGCTCCTACTCAAAAGCCTGGCGGAAGAGCTCAGTCTTGGAAGCCCTGTGGAACTGCTAAAGGTCCCGCAGGGCCCTGATCTCCTCCGGGAGCTTGTTCCACCAGGTGGGAGCTGCCACTGAAAAGGACCTGGCTCTAGTTGTAGCAAGCCTGGCCTCCCTAGGGCCGGGGGTCACCAGACGGTGTTGTGACCCC